TGCTTATTAGCATTGTCCCACCAGTATGGACCCTTGAGAGACATCGTTCATTACTGGTTTCCACCAGTAACCAAATGCAGCCCTTGGCTTCATAACCTATATTACAACCTGTATAAAAAGGATTGCACAATATAGTCATCTGCTTTAGAAGCCGGAGCCGATGATACCAGAGATCATTTTTGGTCAGTTATTTCTAAAAGAAACTTGAATTTAAGGGTGCAGAGCTCAAACTAAGCCATGGGAATGTCAGGAGGACACAAGATTTTCCTGTTCTACAGAGCTATTGCTTTTATATAAAAATGAAGGAAGGTAGCCACTGAACAGCAGGTAAAGGGATATTTATTAAGACATGTTGGTCTTCCCTTCCATCAACTACCGAGTTGTCCAAAAAACACAAACAAATCACAGTCCTGTGATTAATAACACAGATGCAGTGTGTTTTGAACCTCGACAGGATGAGGACATCTGCTTACAAGCAATTAATTTACACTAGAACCTTGTGCTCAAAACCATTGCTGTTCTATAAAAAACTGAGCTGTTTTGAACTTTCTTTAAGAGTTTAAAGTTCCCTGCAGAAACAGATATAATTGATAATAATAACTGCTACCCGTTGTTCCGTACTGCAGATTTAAATTATATGTCACAGTGATAAAACATTTTCAAGTTCAAACGCGGAGATAGTAAAATTTGCACTCTAGTTCTTTGAATTGAACATGACTGAACTTCAAAAAATACCTGTAATCAATCAAATGGACTGCCTAAGCAAAAGAGTGTGATTATTTTCTATTTCACTTTTTCTTATTACTCATGATGTTATGATTCAGTGAACTCCCACTATCCATGCAGTCTGTGTAATGCTGAAATTACACAATTCTAACCATTCTTTTTTACTGTTGTACAATACTTTCTGTAATATTATGTTCAAATTAATTTTCTACAAAATCAATTGTATCTATGTAAATGTTACTTAGATAAGAATAGCTTACGTTTCTTAAAGATTTAAGAGAATCATGACTCCTACTTTTATAAAATTATTTAACTGGCTCCCAAAAGCTTTTAGGTAGAAGTGTTAAAATTACTCATTACCTTGCCATTTCAAAGTAAATTTAATGACTTTGAAAGTTGTGGTGTTTGTTATTTCATATTTGAGTAACATTTTCAGATGCTTTGTATTTCCATTTCTCACTTGGTTTCCTCATAAATTCACATATTGATGGAGATCATTACACTTTATCTGCTCTTAGGTACTTTAGGTCAGTCATACTATAAGAGAAAACTAAATATTGGAATAAAAAATTAATGGATACATCACTTTGATGTCAAATGGAGGCAAGAAATCATTTATATTTACTAAAGAATCCAAATGTTTTGATTCCACTACTCACAGAAGTTCTCCACCTTTAATGGAAAACACACCACAGTATCAGTGATGTGATGGATTTGCTAAGATTAGATTTCCCAGTAACATCTCAGAGCAAAACAGATGATGTAACTTTATCTATTTTTTCTATATTAACTGAGTCACAGTTAACTGCAATGGATTTAGGACTCCCTGGAAACAAATTTATAGATGCATAAAGACTTGTGGAACATCCTGCAAACAAATCTAGGCAAAATCTCATGAAAGACTGGTTAAATTTCCAAACACTAAGTGTTAATTTACACTACTAAAATTTCTTCAAGAAGGTTCAGTTTGCAATTTGGAAACCTACTGAAATGCTGAGCATCAGCCTCAATTAATTACCATGACCAGACAATCAGTTCTGAGATGTGCAGCTGATAATTTCATTAATTGCTCCTGATTATCAATTATTTCTCACTATGGAAAACACACCCTCTATCTTTAGAAAAGGAAGAATTTAAAACTGAGTTCTTCTCTTTCTTTCTTCTGTTTCAAAATTAAGAGAATTGGTAGGAAGAATGTACACTATAATGGCACCAGAGTCTATATATCATAGTACAGGTCTTAGGAACCTACTTAATTGATGGATTTCCATGCTAAAATTGTGTTAATGTTTCATCAGGACAGAAAAAATGTGGACAGCATTTTTCTTCCACCTAAGAGTGTAAAATACAATGAGAGTCTTTAAGAAAACTGGAGGATTTGAAGGAGCTGCTTAACCAGAAGCTAGACTGCTCAGCTGAGCACACTTCCATTTACAGCCATAAACCCTGACAGAAGGAAAGCAAAGATCTTGATCAACAACACTGAACCTGAAGGAAAAGTAGGATGAGGAGAGCTGACAGGTCTACGAATGAGAGTTATACTATGCTCTGATTTTCCTCAGAGAATTAAGAGTTGATCTGTTTCCTGAAACTCTCCAGATTAGAAATGGAATGATTTCTTCCTGCCTTCTAATATGAAAGCTTTATTTTTCCTTCACATTTGTTATCCTAAATGATACAAGACAGAAGGCTTGATCAGAGTCTGAGAACATGATCAAGAATCTGACAGTATGTGGCTACATCAAAGAAATGACACAGCACTTCACAGACTACCACAGGGCTCCATCTGCACATTCAGCTGTCAGGTTGGGATTCTAGAATGAAATCCCACCATTTAAACTCACACTTCTGATGTAAGATCAAAATCTGAGGACAAACCATGGACCATTTTTTTGCTATAGTTTTTACTACTGTATTGTGCATTGCCAGAAAGCACTTTATGCATACTCCAAACATAATGTTTTCTCTTCTTGAGAAAGATCATTGGTTTATGTTGAAGATTTTTATCTGGTATTCTGCATGAGAATGAAAGCAAGTAAGAAGTAAAAGTGTTCAAGATGTAGGGGTTTCTTTCTGTATTTCTCTTAAATATAAAAGTTCAACACAGCAAAAGTCACAGTAACAATCTCTTCAAGCTACTGTATCTCGTTATTTTTTGGAATCAACATTGATAATTATGCACACGCTCTCAGTTCTCCTATTCATCCAAATGTATCCTAAATGTCTGCTGCAAATACAACTTCAAAATTAGTTTGGTTTGGGTTATACAGTTTCCTGAAAGCCTTCAGATCACTTTCTATTTGTCTCCTGAAAGAACTCTCATAATACAACCTTTTTTCAGACAAAATTTGAAATTAACACATATTTTCACATTTCTGTTGTGTATCTTTGAGTACCTTGGGTTGAATAGAAATGTCTGTGGCTACTTATATTTCAGGAAATTAGCAAGCAGAGAAGCTGAAATAAATTTGATGCTGATTTATAACTTCATTTTCTATTCTCCTGCTGTTTGTTGCTTGTTTATTTGTTTTTTTTAATGTATAGTCCAATTATCACTTCACATGAACAACGAAATTTTCAAAAGGCACAGCTGGCTTCTGATGTCCACTAACTTGCAGTGTGATTTAAAAACCAGACATCAAGAGGCTCCACCTCACTTTTCTGTTTTAATGTTGTTTGTTTTCCTTTCTTCTCTTTCTCTCTGGCTTTTCTTCTCTGTGTTAGGAAGAATAAACACAATGCTGAGGAAACAGAGAAAACTAAAATCACACTATCCCTCATTTTCCCCTTCACACTCCTCTCCCCAGCTTCCGTAGTCTATTGCAGTGTATTGGGACAGATCTAGAGATGAGACTTTCCCTTCCTGGAACATGGCTGTGGCTTATTCTAGTACAAAACAATGTAAATCTACCAAAATTTGTTAGTTCCAAAGAAATTACTATTTCATCTTTGTACTCTTCAGCTTTGTACTCTTGATATCCAACTTGTATTCTCTATACCAGGTGCTTGCCTTTTTCCCTGAAAAAAATGTCTGTTCTCTGAAGTAGAGTCAGTAATTGAATTCTATGTATGGCATTCATGCACATTGTACTACTTGCTATACTAACCCCTAAGAATTCAGCTACTATCACAATCACTATGGATGCTAAACTATTAAACAGGTTCCTGTTCAGGAATTATTCTTTATTCAATTACATTTAAATTGCTACAAATTGGAATAAACATGGTTCAGTGATGCAAAAGTCACAGGAGTTTTCAAAGCTGTTATTTTCTTTGTCTGAATTTTACACTTCACGTAATGGTACCCTTGATTCTCATAACTAACCTGTCATACTTTGAATTAGTGCTTATTCACAACTTTATTATCGCATCAGATCTATTACTATTCCTTCTCCTTGAATTTAGGACCCAGTGTTAATATGAAATTAAAACGTCATTGTACTACAGCTAGGGCAACGATTACAGAAAAAGTCACATCTGTTTTGAAGTTCTTGGATAATATAAAGTGAGAAGGAAGAATGTGCATCAGAAAAATTCTTCTGGTCATTCCCTTCTCATTAATCAGCATGTCAGGCACAGCATGAATGAATGGTAATTAGATTAAGGCGTTTTATAAATAGACTATATTCTATGCAGAGATTTCTAAATTAAACCCTGGTCATATATTTCATATTGATATAATAAGAATGTTTATATACGTGTGTGTATATATACATATACACAAACGCATATAACTATGTGTGTGTGTGCTATATATATATTTAAATATGTTATTTAAATTTTGCTAACAAAATGAGAAGAAAAATAGATCTATAGGGTAACAATATGAAACAACAACCAAGTCCCTTTTTAATGCAGCCCGTAAGAACTTAAAAACACAACTTTGTCTTGCAAATTGGAGACTGTCAGCGCTATCGGCAACAGCGTGGCCTGGAAACCTCAAACCTTACAGAGTAGCAGTGGCACAACAGCCAGGTTTAATCCCACAGCTTTTAACTACAAACTATTTGGTATTATTCAATACTCACAAAACTGAAAGATAATAATTTATGCTTATCATAAATAAGCACATAAAGAGTACTACTGTTGAGAGTGCAGCATATTCCATGTCCTATAATATGAACACATGGCAAACAAACATTTTAACTGGATGTGTATATTGTAATGATATATTTCAAACACATTTAAAAACATCAGCAACAGAGACTTGCTATCATTTCTTTTACGCATTTTTACAGAAAACAGAATCGTAAGAACACATTTTTAGTACTTACCACTGTGTTGTATTTTTGAGAAGGCTTCAGAATTCCCCCATAGGAGGAAGCATGGTGTCATTTTCGTTACAGCAGTTTTTCCTGTTGGGAGGAAATATATTGTGAGGGTTCTTCAGTAAACTAACTTAAAAAACCCGATGCTTATGAGTCACAAATAGTGAACAAAAGGTTACTCACTAAATCACCTGTAGTAACAGATATTATGCATATTCAAATATAAAATAAAAAATTCCTTTTTTTTAATAAAAGACATTTGACTATTTTTTACTCTTTCTTATACATAATTCAAAACTGTAGTTTACCCTTCAAATGACTTCTCAGAGGATAGACTATTTCTCAAAACTCTATCCATCTTAGATAGACTATTTAGATATAAATACCAATATTTATCAACCATCTGTTCTGTCAGGACTATCTTGAGATCCTGCAACTTAAAACTCAAACCTTACTGGCGTCAAGAAAGTTATTTCAGGTAGTTTTAATATGTTTCAAGACTCTGTTAGCTGAAATACTTCTTTTCTGTCAAAAGGCAACCAAGTTGATTTTATGGCATTTATAGCTGCACACATTTTGCAGGAGAAACTCATGCACTGTCTGTATATTTATTTCTGTATTTCTCATAAAGTACCCAGGCACTTCTTATAATTTATTCTTACTTTCACTAAGTTGATCATCGCAGAGACTGAAGATTCTGCAATTTAAAACACAATGAATACTTTCTCATTAATGTTTTGACTCACTATAGCCAAACCACTCCCTGCAAGTGCAATTAATTGTAACAGCTGCAAACACAGGCCTCAATTCTATGTAAACACAGTGATTATAAACTGGAAATAAGTACTAGTAGATGCCTATCTAAATACACGTTTGGAAAGGAGAAATTCTGAAATACGGAAGCTAAGCACAATTCCTTATGAATAAGGAATGTGTGAAACACCCTAGCTAAACTGTCAAAGTGTCCATCTGGACACTTGCTACAGGGAAGCTTGGCAAGGCTGCAACTTTTCATACACACCCGTTGAGGAATCAGATGTTGAAGTTTAGGACAATCTTTATTGCAAGCTACAGTAATGTCTTAAATCTCTCCCTGTGACAGCGGCATTTTTACTGGAGATTTCACTGCTCACGTAGCCTTTGACAGCCATTCCAATTCTCCAACAGTAGTAGGTGATTAAACCTAGGATATAAGAAATAAGGATGGATTTAAGGAATGGCTGTGAAGGGCAGTGAAAATCCGCTAAGGCTAACACAGTTTCACTTCTCAGTTATTTTAAACCCCACTTTTTCCCATTGATTCAGCTTCATATCAAGTTCTTTCTTTTGAAAATTTTCATAATAAGCTCTTCACTGCTAAATTGGAAAACTGAAATTGACAAATTTCATAGCAATTAAATTTTCTAATCTTTTGAACCATAAACAGAAAATCAGTGATTAAACAATGGGTCATAGAATCATAGGATATGCTGAGTTGAAAGGGACCCATCAGGATCACTGAGTCCAATTCCCGGCCCTGGACAGCACACCCCAGAATCATACCACATGCCTGAAAGGATGGGCAAACGCATCCAGGCAGTTCTGGGATGTTCTCTCCACATCAGTAGCCCAGAAATCAGAATTTTGGCTAAGCAGATGTTTCTACTTCAACTGTTTATTGCCTGGACAGTTTGGGAGGAGAGGGCTGTTCAGAAGAAGAAAGCCAGCTAGAGGTAGATTTCACAGCAGAAAATAGACACAGACCAGCTAGAAGAGTATCATAAATATGCAAATGAAATAATTTTTTTCACTAATTAAGGTATTTGAAAGCAAAAAAACTAAATCTGGCCACAGGCTTCCTTTGTATTTAGTGGGAAAAAACAGGCTTCTTGAATTTAGAAGGCTTGTTAATCTTCATGAGTCAAACAGTGTGGGCTTTAAGTTAGAAAATGAACAACCCTCTCTTCACATACACTGAGGTAACGTTGATTTTCGGATATCTAAGAAATTAGTGGTGGTACTTTGTTTTCTTTACTTGAGCCAAATGTAATCAAGTATCAAATAATGCAAAGGCAGTGAAATGTAACTTTTCCTTTGCTAAATATGCAGTAACTCTCTTTTTGCCTAAAGAGAAGAAATTCACCAACAAGAAAAAAAAATCCCACTTTGCAAACCCATTTTTAAACTTTAATTGAAAGTAGAACACCAGGAGAAGACAGGAAGCCTCTCATCTATACAACTCCCTTTAAATCTATGTATTTTGAGTTATACTTATTGTCTTTAAGCAGATCAGAAAGATATGGTAAAACCTGTGTTTCTTCTTTCTCCCTCTGACATAGCAATTTCCTCATGATTCTCTGCTCATCTATTTCTGGTTTGAATAGTTAAATCTATGAACCTCTCTGTATCTCTGGTCTTGATTTCTGCTTGTCCCATAACAATGCCCTTGTGGTAGCATAGTCAGAGAAAGCAGGAAAGACAGACTGACACTCCTCTGAAACCAGAGGTGAGGGACTGTATGCTCAGCAACAAGTAACTACATGATCCCCCAAAATGGCTGGGTGGCTTCAGAGAGAAACTACAAGAAAAAGAAAGAATAGGATTGTACAAATCTGTGGCAAGACCTAAGGGCAGGAAAAGCTCTAGGAGAGACCAAAGACGAACATAGTAAGCAGGCAGAACAGCCTAACGTGAGCGATAAACAGAAACTGCTCTTCAGAGAAAATGGGCTGCTACCAAACACACAACAGCAGCAGCAGATGAGCAATAACACAGAAATGGAAAGGCTGGTGCCATCTCCACAGGATGCAGACAGCGAGGAGGAATGAAGCTGTGTGTGTAAGGCATGATGGCAACTAGGAACAAGTAATTTGAATTTGCAGTGGACCTTATTTCTTAAAAAAAACTACTAAAATTTCTTGAGAAATCTTCTTGCCTTCAAAGTTGTTTAGATATGAATCTTTGCTAACACGATTGGCAAAACATAGGTTAATTACCCATGTGGGCTATAACAGAATCATCCTGAACCACATACCAAAACAAAGATGTCACGTGTGATACAGCAGATAAAACAGATTAAAATCTTCTCCTCATCAGGAGAATAAGTGAAGGTAAATACATGAATAGCATATAATACACATTTCATTAAAAAACTTAAAGAATGAAAGAATGACAATATTGGTACAATGAAGTTCCAAACAAATCTAAAAAATAATATTACAAATCAACAACCTGAAAAGTTGCAGAAAAAAAAAAACCAACATGCTGCAGGGGAAAAACCCCACACCAAACCTAAAAACAAATTAAAAACAACCCTAACAACAAAATAAACCCAGACTACAACAAGCAGGCTGGAAAGAAAGATGTTAGACTCATTTTGAATCAAACAAAACAAATCTTCTCAAGAATTTGCAAACTGCTATGAGAAGTCAGGAAGAATTAAACTCATGAAGCTTGAGCCCAAAACAGCAAGACACACCAGAGAAATGCTGATGATGCAGAAGAGAGTAATTCGCCGTGTTAAGAAATTCTGAATGGTAAATGGAATGATAAATCCCCTTAGGGAAACTCCAAGCCAGAAAGTAACAATGCTAAAAAAGCATGTAGAACAAGACATAGAAAAACCAAAGAACATGAAAAATGCTAAGTCTAAGGTCAAAGAGAAGGGGAGAGGGCTAGTCCTGTGTCAAAAGAAAAGGTTGAATCTCAAGGCAGGGATAAGAGAAAGGCCAAGCTTAAGATTAAGGAGGAGGAGGAAAAGGAGGCTGAGATACAGCTAAAGGAGAAAGACAGCAGTAAGCAGAGGTAAAAGATTAAAAAAAAAAAAGACTAAGGACAAAACTGAAGTCAAAGAAACAAAATCCAAAGAGACCTTCAAGACCATGCTGAGACATATTGAAATTAAAGATCAGATGGAACAGCAAGACCTCCACATAATAGCCCTCAAGCTTGTCAAGGTACAGCATCGAGAGGCTGCAGACAGGGAATAAGATTAATAGAAGACAGAATAACCCACCCAGTGGCATGGAGTTCAGATCATCTTTTAGTCCTCACTTCAAGTATCTAGTTAAGTCTCCTTAGGCCTTTTAATATTATTTCTGTTTCTGAAAATAACAGCAAAAAATGTACGAAAAGGCACTTAAACAGCTATTACAGCAAGGTTCTCGCTATGCTTGAGGTAATGTTAATTATCTCTGTCACTTACAAGTTATTACTAGTAAAGCAATTACCTTCAATGAAATTAGATATGCCTCTCTATGTACAAGCAAACTCTGATAAATATATCTGCCTTTCTCCGTTATGATTTTTTTTTTCAGGATCCTAGGTAATTCAGGAAGAAACTCTCTTAAAATTTTCATAGCTGGAAAGACTGGAATGACTAAAAATTCATTCAAGAAAAATTCATAAAAGAAAACCCTCTCAGAAGTGGAAAAGCTTTTTCTTTACTTTACATAAGTGATGTGTCAGATACTATCATTGCTGGTTAAGCCATTGAGCTGTTTTTCCCACACCCCACAAAAATGAAGTGTAAGGTGAGAGAAATTGCAATCCCAACCATCAAACTGAAATAAGCACATCAAAATCTGTCTGCACTTAGGGATTTTCCTATCTAGCTGCATAAATTTTCATTGCTGTACTACTGAAACACTTTTCTGATAGACAGGACATGAACAGGAAGGCTATTCCAGTTCAGTGTCAAGGTAACTGAGAAGTTGCCAGGGGTGCAAGGCAGAGGGTCCTGATTGACAGCAACAATGACAGAGGTTCTGAGACCTCCTTCTCTTGAAAACTGAGCTCTTACTCATTTTCACCTTCATTCTGTTTCTCCAGATTCATTCTCCAGAATGAAACTGATACGTTAGAGGCAAATCATAGAATGTGACCCATCTCTATTGCACCTCCAAAACAAATATTGGCAAAAAGCCTTTCAACCTAGCATGTCCCTAAGGGCACCACCACCTCTGACTTGTCCCTGGGGTTCCCCTCACTCTCCCCAGGGCCCAGGAGCCCTCCTCAGCCCCCCAAGGACTGCCAGCCCCTGCCCAGCAGTGCCACAGCAGGGCCAGTCTCCAGCGCCCCACAGCCCTGCACTGTCCTGCCCTGCCCTG